CCACCCCGCCCCCCCCCCCCCCCCCCCCCCATTGAAATTCCTAAATACGGGCCTGGTACGAATACAGAAAATTAAAAAGCCGCGAGTATTTTGAGATTATCGTTTTTGTAAGGATTAAGTTTTCTGTATCATAAAAATTAAATGGAGAAGAAGAGAACATCGAATACCATCATACCTGTTATTATGCCTAAATAGTATAAAAATTGAGAAAAGAATGTATTAATGCGGAAACAATGTTTTTCTCATTGTTATTGTTCAGATAGTGTATACCTCGCATGGATTGTGTGCCTATAGCCTATAAAGCATTCATAACACTGACGACATGATGCTGGCTACTCACCGCATAACCAGGATTTATACGGTAGTAGTTCTATTTAAAGCGAATACAGTACAATTATATATATTGTTCCACAATGGTTTTCTTTTGCCTGTGCAAACAGAAGAGCTGAAAAGATTCGTCCCGTATGATGGGTTACAATGACTCATGCGTAAAACTATAAAGGATTGATATCGTGTCATGGTCCACTGAATCAAGGAAATAACTGTTTTTAAGTATTTGACAGAAAGTACCAAGTTAGATTTTTACTTTTAAAAATTACAGAATTAAATAATTATGTATATATTCTTATTATTGTTATTATGCAGTCAACTGACATGTGCTCAGAATGGTAAGTAAAAATAATATTCTGTCATATTTTAAATCTTTGTTGAGCAGGAAAATCCTAGGCCCTAAGTCTTTATCACGGGTCGAATTAGCCTAAACTAAACAGAGTACGGAAATACAGAGGTAAACTTAGGCTTATTTACAACGGTGCATGGCAAATAGACCTATAGGCCCAGGGGCTATATATCTAGGGTATCCACTTACATTTTGTTCAGGCTTTTAAAATAAAACTTCCCAAAATCACATGCTCTGTGTATGTATTGCAAATAATGATTTCGTGCTTCATTTTCTGTGCCGTAAATTCAGGCCAAACCAATAAATTAATAAAGGGGTATAGGCTTCTATAATGCTATACGGTATGATTGTAACACATTTCTCGTGATGTTGTATGGAAGTTTAACAAAATACTTTTTCCAAATGGAGTGAAAGCAGTCTATCTCGGTACAGGTATTGCTGGGGGTTTAATTTATTTTAGTATTTTTCACGTAACTGTTTAGGCATATGGTAGGCCTATATATGATTATCTTTTGTAGTCAGATGTTTTTTGAAAAATGTAGAATCAGTGTTACCAACCACTTTGATACTCCACAAAATACAGGAATATATAAAGAACAATTAAAACTGAATTTAAATATTAAACTAAACATTTACAATTGGATGCACTACTTGTCTATTACAGTCGAGTATTGAACACTAAATACACCTGAATAATTGAATACTTTGACTTCAACACTTGACTGATGAACTCTTGAATAAAACTAATGACTATTGAGCATTGGCATATAGTATAAAGTTTTGAGTATTGAACACTTTACTTTTAAACACTTGAATAGTGAACATAGCTATTGGACACATGACTTGTGACTGTGACTTGAATAATATTTTGACTCAGTTTTGGCACTTAGCTACACCTGACTATTGAAAACTATAGGCCTACTATTGAAAGCATGATTGAATTAGACACTTGACCATTTGACACTGTTGAGCACATATCTATACCTAGAATTAAAATTAATCTAAAGCATACAATAGGCCTATATAATCTGAATACTTCAGTAAAAATTACTGAATCTTATGTTATAATAAGCGTATTTTTAGTAAAGTCATTTTTTCTATTTTTTTAGGATTGTATTTGTTAGGCCTACTAAAAGGAACACATTAACTTAGTTTGTAGTGGTCATTATCAATTAAACAATAAGTACCTTTCGGGTTGATGTAACTTCACCATTGAGTATTCTCTGTATATAGGTATTTACCGGCTGTAACTCGAATGTTCTTAATTCTAGAGTTGTAGTGCACAAATTCTGTGCAATTAAATAGATTTTTGACGGTCCACTACATAATTATAATACTGTCTGTATTCGAATAAATGCCCTCTCGAATAAACATTTGTAATAAACACTCCGGGGCATTTATTGTTCCTGGAATATCCCAAAGTTCGGAAGGCGTTTCCGAAGCAATGAAAGCGCCGGCGTCCATATTCTCACACACCGATTCGATTTTCTGATCGGTTCGGTAGGTTCTAAACAAAGTTAACTGCAAGAGGTCCGACTCTTTTTCGTTGGAACTTAATTATTTTTCAAAAAGTACTACAACGAAGGGGCGTGTCCTTAAAGACAAATTCCGAGGGAACTCTATTCGAATTCTAATAGGCCGCCCCTATCTCGTGGCCTGTCTCTTATACACATCTAGATGTGTATAAGAGACAGGTAGTAAACACATCTAGATGTGTATAAGAGACAGTTGATACTCCACACAATACAGGAATATATAAAGAACAATTAAAACTGAATTTAAATATTAAACTAAACATTTACAATTGGATGCACTACTTGTCTATTACAGTCGAGTATTGAACACTAAATACACCTGAATAATTGAATACTTTGACTTCAACACTTGACTGATGAACTCTTGAATAAAACTAATGACTATTGAGCACTGGCATATAGTATAAAGTTTTGAGTATTGAACACTTTACTTTTAAACACTTGAATAGTGAACATAGCTATTGGACACTTAACTTAACACTTGAAAGCATAATATTTTGACTCAGTTTTGGCACTTAGCTACACCTGACTATTGAAAACCATAGGCCTACTATTGAAAGCGTGATTGAATTAGACACTTGACCATTTGACACTGTTGAGCACATATCTATACCTAGAATTAAAATTAATCTAAAGCATACAATAGGCCTATATGATCTGAATACTTCAGTAAAAATTACTGAATCTTATGTTATAATAAGCGTATTTTTAGTAAAGTCATTTTTTCTATTTTTTAGGACTGTATTTGTTAGGCCTACTAAAAGGAACACATTAACTTAGTTTGTAGTGGTCATTATCAATTAAACAATAAGTACCTTTCGGGTTGATGTAACTTCACCATTGAGTATTCTCTGTATATAGGTATTTACCGGCTGTAACTCGAATGTTCTTAATTCTAGAGTTGTAGTGCACAAATTCTGTGCAATTAAATAGATTTTTGACGGTCCACTACATAATTATAATACTGTCTGTATTCGAATAAATGCCCTCTCGAATAAACATTTGTAATAAACACTCCGGGGCATTTATTGTTCCTGGAATATCCCAAAGTTCGGAAGGCGTTTCCGAAGCAATGAAAGCGCCGGCGTCCATATTCTCACACACCGATTCGATTTTCTGATCGGTTCGGTAGGTTCTAAACAAAGTTAACTGCAAGAGGTCCGACTCTTTTTCGTTGGAACTTAATTATTTTTCAAAAAGTACTACAACGAAGGGGCGTGTCCTTAAAGACAAATTCCGAGGGAACTCTATTCGAATTCTAATAGGCCGCCCCTATCTCGTGGCAGTAAGGAACTGTTGCAGTTCTATAATACTCGTTGCATAAAGCCTGTTTTGCACCAGGCAAATTTATTTGCGCGATTCGAAAGCGTCGGTTCATGCGCATGCGCGTTCACATTTCTATCGGAGTTGTTCGCTATAGCGGAATCAGTAGTTCGAATTGTTTCTAAGCCTATTTTTTGCGAAGCGACAAAAATGCACAACCATCAGAGCTCAGAAAACAAACCGACGCTGTCGACTCGCGCGAATAAATTCGCCTATGGAAAACATGCTTAGGTTAAGCCGCTTTTCCACTAGGTGAAATTTATTCGCGTGAATCAAAAGCGTCGGTTCTTACGCATGCGCATTCATGTTTCTATCGGGTTTTTGCGAAGCGAAAAAAATGCTTAACCAATCAGAGCTCAGAAAGTGTACCGAGGATTTGATTCGTGCGAATAAATTCGCCTAGTGGAAAACACGATTTAAGCTATATTTTCGTTGCATTTCTTTCCTGTTTTCAACTTTTGAGAATTTATTCGCGGGAGTCGAAAGTGTGAAGCGAAAAAAGTGCGCAAGGAATCCGAGCTCATGAACCGAACCGACGCGTTAGATTCGCGCGAATAAATTCGCCTGGTGGAAAACAGTTGGTTTGCGCGAGATGTCACCATTCCGAGTAGCATTATTGTCCAATTTAATTCAACATTAGGTTAACACATGTTAATTCTTTGTCATATTTAAACGTCGTTGGTATTATTTTTGTATAGGAAAATTATTGAATGTAGCTTTATATAGCACTCAAAGCCTGATCAATGTGCATTCTGGAGCAACAACGGAGATCACAGGATTCAGCACACAAAACGAAAAGCCTTTTAACATGACATTTTTTCGAATGTGTGAACCACGACAAACTATCTTCACCACCGTCTTCGTGGGTGGTGCTGAGCAAACGCGGATAACAAACTTTCCAAACGGAACATATACGGACACAGGAGAGGAAAACAGCGACGGTTTTCTCAAAGTAACTATCCCTACTGGCGCTGATGTTAGCGAGAAAACTGGAGTATTTTCGTTCCATGTTGCAAATGACAACGGTTCAGCAAATACATCAATAGTTATGCAAGTATCATCAGGTACAGTAGATACTCTCTTTATTGTATGGATCAAATAATAGGAATATATATAAAGCTTGGTTTCCAAAATCTATCGCCTATAGCTAGCTTTAGCTTGGTTTCCATACAATCGCTACACTCTATCGCCGACAGATTTCAGTGATACAGACTTGGTCGGTCGAATCAGGGAGCATTCCAGATTGCGTTGGAGACTGCTACGCGGTCCCGTTCGCATTGCAATGACACTGAAAACATTAATTTAATCGATACGATGATATCGATTTTATACGACGGCATTATAATTATCCAACAGCGACAAAGGTCGCCAATAATAGTATATAATAATAGTATATATATACATATATACATATATATATACATACATACATATATATACATATACATATATATATATATATACATATATATCACATTATGGTTATATATTTCGTTTTAAACTATTTAAGCTATTTATCATGCTATAGTATGTGATTTTTTTTGTATAAGTCTACGGTTTCATAAATACAGTAGATAAAAATACAATTCAATGAATTTTATTTTCAGCATCTATTACCCCATTGCACCGGACTATGACGTCAGCACTTGGAGAAAAAGTAACTATACACATGCTTACTAATCAATCATTTAATGATGACCTAAGATGGAGAATTAATTATGGTGACGTCATAACTGAATGGAATGGTTTGTCAAATGTGACGATTGACGTTGTCCGATTGAAAGATGATGGTATCTACGAGTGTTACCACGAGAAAAATGGCACCGATGGTAACCATGGTATCATGAGACTTATTGTAAGAGGTAAATGATTGAAATTCGGAAAATTTTAGACCTCCGTATAGCGTTATGGTTACAATAGTTCTTGCAATAATATAATATAATAATGAGGATGATGATGATAATATAACAATAACAGCAATAATAATAATAATAATAATAATAATGATTATTATAATAATAATAATAATTATAATAGTAATAATAATAATAACAGTAGTTATTGCAATAATATAATATAATTATGAGGATGATGGTGATACTATAATAATGAGGATGATGGAGATAATATAATAATGATAATAATAATAATAATAATAATAATAACAATAGTTCATGCAATAATATGATAATGAGAATGATGATGATAATGATAATGATAACATTATATACCACAGACAAATTTCAGCTACTAAAATATCGCCACAAATCAAGCGGCTTGGTGGATAAGATGTATTGTCTTATTCGCTAAAAAATGAAAAATTTATTTGTATATTTAAATTGCATTAATTTAAATTTGTATTGAGAAAAAATCTCTTCGTTAACTAATAGGGGGTCATGACAGAAGCGTCCTTGTTGCGGCCCTGTTTCTTAACGCCAATTCTACCACCACGCAAAAGACAAGATAAGAAGAAAAAGAAAAAGTTAAATTATTTTGCATAGATCCCTAATTTGGTTGATAATTAATCTAAGAATTATTTTACGAAAATATCTGTAAAATAACTGAAAACTAATGTTGTTTGCTATCTGTTTCTGAAATCCTTTAGTCCTATATGAATTTTACTTAAATGTTTTAACTAATTCCCCGATTTGTTTAGCAGACTGTACATCTTTGTTAAGGACTTGGCTTAAATCTTGGCAAATGGTCAAGGAAACCTCACTTCCGAATAAAAATGATATAATATAGTTTGTTGTAGATCATCAGCAGAAATCATCTGACGTAATCAGGTTCGACCTGGTAAAACATTATGTAAAAAATGTAAAAATGCTGTTTTTTTTCCAAGGTTGCCCATCTTCAAGGTGGAATCCACCTACATGTGACAAATTTTGTCCTGTCTGCTACAATGGTGGTGTTTGTAATGACGTCACAGGTGTGTGTGTTTGTCTTTCGGGATTCAGAGGACAACAATGTAAATCTGGTATGTGTATGGTAATATTCATTTTTATTATGGTCACTTTTATCGTAGAATTATAATGCCTATTTTTTTGTTATTTATTTATTTATTTATTTATCTATTGCTTTAAATTTCAGTCTGTCTAGCGGGTACATTCGGTCCTGACTGTGCTTTAAGATGTTCCTCAACTAATGATAGCTGCAAAGGCGCCCTCATATGCCCATCAGATCCGGCAGGCTGCAGCTGTGGGAATGGATATGGTGGCATTGATTGTACAAAACGTAGAGTATAGCATACTTACTAATATTATAATACTAATTATTATAATGATGATGATGATGATGATGATGATGATGATAATGATGACATTTATAATAATAATATTATGATGATAGATGAAGATGATGAGGATGATGGTGATGATGTTGATGTGGATGATGATAATTAGTAATGAAAATAAATAATTAAGATAGAATAGTAATATTAACACTAATAATAATAATAATAATGATAATAATATTAATATTAATAATATATTATATAAAAAATATAGTAAATAATTGCTTACGATATTTCTTATTATGATAGTGATGAGAGTAAGAAATGAAGTGATGATAGTCTATGTTCCTTGACTCTCAAAATATAATTTCACAGCATGCGAAGACGGTTGGTATGGACCCGGCTGTAACCAAATGTGCAATTGTGACCACGCCTCTTGTGACAGTAAATCGGGTTGTTCTGGTAACTGCAGCTTACCCGGCTACACAGAAGAATCACATTGCCAAGGTATCGACGTTTCATCCATTTGCTATAGCTTGTGAAAGTTCAAGAAACCTGGATAATACAAACATGTTTGCAACAGTGTTTATGAGTTTTAAAAAAAATTGTCAATGTGAAAGATGTCTCGTTATTGTAGCAGGGGTGACGCCAGAGAGGGGCGGGAGCGGGGACCACCCCCACCTCCACCCCGGTCGGGGAGAATAACAATTCGTCGGGAGAAAAAAATTAAATGTGTTTTCTAAATAATTACTATAACTCTAAAATTAATTTAATAAGCCTTTGAAACCCCTAAATTGTCATATTTTTGGGGGGGCCTCACCACTCCCACCCCCTCCACCCACTCCGATCATCAAAAACACAATTGTTAAAAACCCGACGGAATGACCAAAAAGCGAAACAAATTACTGTCGAGTGATTCTCCAAGGTTAACAATAATGCATGAAAACACTTAAAATATACGTAAATAAATATAGATTAAAAATATATCCAAATTCAGTTTGTACAATGAAAGATTTAAAAACAATAAAATTAGGAACAAAAAATGTTGAAACATTGCTCTACTTAAAACCTTAAATTTAAAAATGGTAACACAAAAAGATTAGGAATTTAAGAAAAAATATTAAAATCTAAAACTAATTCGTTACGAATATCAATAGGTAATAAATTCCATTGTATGGGAAAATTGATAAAAACAGAGAATTTAAAACAATCTGCACAGGAATATAGATGTGTAAATTTTAAATTGTCAATATGACGACAGTTAATATACTAGAATATGTCCACAATAAAGAGCTCAGTATACTACACACAAACGTAGTATATTTTAAAAAAGATTATTAAAATGTAAAACTAATTCGTTACGAATATCAATAGGCAATAAATTCCATTGTCTGGGGAAAAATTGATAAAAACGGAGAATATAAAACAATCTGTACGGGAATAAAGATGTGTAAATTTTAAATTATCTATATGACGACAATTAATATACTAGAATATGTCCACAATAAAGAGCTCAGTATAGGCCTACTACACAAAAACAGTACAGGTAGTGTTTCTTAGTGTACACTCTCGGGCCTCGTGCTTCTCCTTGTCCTAAATTGAATTTTCTTTCTTTTTTTTTTTTCTTTTTTTTTTTTTTTTTTTGTTTTGTTTTTTTTTTTGTTTTTATCACGACCGTATACTTAACATTTACATTATACAAGTAATAATATAGGAATATTGGAAATTATAGAACATCATGTATGAAATATTTGTGAATAATATTCATTCTCTTCACAACTGTAAGCATTGTGTATAGGATTATTTCTACGTGCATTTATAAGCCTTAACATGAATAGGCCTATGCGCAGTTGGCTAAACTACGAGTTGCCTAATAGGTATATTTAAAAAACACTGAACCAGAGTTTTGGTGATATAGCTTTGAGATAAAAACATCACGCCCGCGTTCTCTCAAGCTGTTTAATGGCAAAAATATATTATTAATATAGAAGAATTTGTTGTTTCCATTTGATACAGAGTTGATGCAAAACAATTCCTGTCCTGAAGGTTTCTATGGTGATCTGTGTAACCATCATTGTCATTGCAAATATGCTCAAAGCTGTGACCGTAAAAGCGGGAATTGTGCAGGAGGATGTGAAGAAGGTTGGGGACAAGAAGGCAACACTAGTTGTAGTATTGGTAAACAAAAACAAAAAAATAGTTAAAATTTATTGCTGCTTAGCATTGGGAACATAAATAATGTAAATATCAAGTAGATCAAGAATAGGCCTAATAACAGTACTCAAATAGCAACATGCTGTAATAATCCTATCGTACCGTATCTTATCATACGATTTTTGACATCATGTTCTATATAGACAAACTTTTCAATTTATGTAACCATGAAACACATTCCTATATTTACTTCACAGCGTTAGCAGTTCTTAGCCATCCTCCACGCGTTGTATCACGAACCAACAGCTCAATTATTATCGATTTCACCTGGTCGCCTACAAAAGACTATGGCAATGGTAACGTCCTGGCAAACTTACTATGGTACAATATATCCGATAACTTAACAGTCCACAAAACACATGTTTTCAGGAGTAACCAACATACTATAAGTGGTCTACCTTCAAATTCGTTAGTAACATTCTACGTTGAACATATTCAGGTGCTAAATGAACACATTTTTCATGGACCTATAAGCCCATTCGGCACCACAGTCACTACTTGTTCAGGTACGCCTTTGATTCTTTTCTAACTTTATTGTTTTTGTGGTGAAAAATAGGCCTACTTGTTTTCCCCATTTGATGCTGGAAGCTGAATATTTTGTTAGATGTGATTTATTATATAATCATCACTAAAGAGAGAAATTCTTGCAATCAAGATCAGAATCCTGATGATATTAAATATACTAAAACGTTGGTAAAATTGAGGATAATTGGAAAGAAATGAATTGACCATACCTGGGCAAATACACAATAAGTATTTGTAATGTTAATATTTTGAACATAATATCACGTAATTATAATCCTATTGATGGAAATATTGAATAGATTTTATTATAGGTATTTAAAAATTTACAGCATATTACAGTTTTTATATATAGTATTATTATCCCTGATTTTTTTTTCTTTTTGTTTATATTGACATGCCTGATATAAATTTAATTGAATTATAGAACCTCTATATGCACCCTCTGTGGGTAACATATCAAGAACACCAAACGAGATAACGGTGACTTTAAAGGTATTTTAATAGCATAGTTTTATCACATTAATTATTCTACATGAATATGGCGAAAAATGGTCATAAATAAACAAATTAAAGTGAAAAGCTCTATTTAAGTTTCCTTGTGACGAAACTATAATAGTAATAAAATGCCTAATCAAAACTACTGTTGAACCTGTTTTTTTTAAATTACCATTGAGCACTCTATTGATGATATTTGCAAATCGTTCAATCGTTTTACTTTATATAGAGCATATATATACACTATATATACACTGTCTCTTATACACATCTAGATGTGTATAAGAGACAGGTCATACTCTTTTCATGCTATATTTAACGAAATTATTTCGTAACAGATGTAATAACTATCAATAAATGCTAAATATAACATTCACATGCAAATAATGATTTAGCCTTTGCATCTTCATATTCATTTGCTATGTCAGATCATTTGTTTTGATTTAATACTTTTTGGATCTGTTAAATTTGTTTAATCCTACATTTCATCATATTAATCATTTTATTAATTTATATATTTCCGCTCCAATTAGTTACATTTATATCCCAACATTGAGGTCAGTCAGGGGTTCTCGCGCTGGAAGTCGCTTGTGTCCTTGGGCAAGGCACTTTATCTACGTTTGTCTCTTTCTACCTAGGAATAT